CCAGGCCTTGTCCTCCTCTTGTCCTCTGTGGCTGGGCTCTGTGGCTGCGCCTTCTGGTCTTCTTCTTGTCCTTGTCTTGGCCGTGCGCCTGAACTCTGTGCTGGTCTCTGTGGCTTACTGGAGAGGAGTGTGTACAGAGCACACATGATCGGAACATGTGCGAGCCGTGAGTTGGCTTGTTCGCGTGAGCGCTGTAAGTTAGCTTGCTGGCTGCAGCATGCAGTGGTGGTGCTGCTGTCTTTTTCACTGTGCACTGTGCAGAGTCATCTCAGGCTTGAGGAACTTGGCCAGCCCGTGGATTCCGACTTGGTGTGGGACCTGACCAACAATATCGACTACTCGATGTGGAAAGATTCAAGTTATCATGGTTTCATTCCATGCCTTCTCCGTGGGCACCGCTACTGGTCGCTGTCCAGAAAGCGTCAGAAGCTTGGTCGGGCCCCGTTTGCGTTGGATATCTGGCCGTGTCGTGTCAGAACCACAAAGTCACAAGTCATACGCAGCGGCATCGGAGATCGGGATGCGGTGTGTGGTGTAGGCTGCATACGCAGTACGTGTATACGGGACCAGACCGGACTGATGTTGCTGGGTGAAGAACTTCTCTTGCTGGGACATGGCTTTCCAGCATTCCAGTTGAGTGGTGAGGTGCATGGGGTTCAAGTGTCCGTGCCAGAATCTGGGTCCGTGGTCTGTGTTTTTACTTTGAGAGCGGGTGGTCATGGGGCCTGGGTTTTGGTTTTCCCTAAAATTTTAGGTATATGCTTTAGTGGCAGCCCCTCTCCGTATAGACACACATATCTATTCTTGCTCTCACTCTATATGAACAAATATATTTTGGTTTGGAAGCAGCAATCAGTCATTCAGATGGTTTGGAACAAGATAATTAGAAAAGAAGCATGCCATAAAAGTGGTTATTTTAACAATTGTCCTCTAGATCTCTGCTTATAATTATGTTTAGATTTGGAAAGATTGTGTATAGACTCTTTTATGTTATAAAAGATTCTTTATAGATCTCTGCAGATAATCATGTTTAGATTTAAACAACCATATAGAAACCTTGTATGTTAAAAGCTTTCTTCTAGATTTCTGCGGGCAAGAGCTTGCATTTTCAAAGCTTTCCTCAGGATCTCTGGGAAAGTAGATATCCCTATATGTGTTTTCATGAAAGGAAAGCTCTTGAAAGAAAGACTTATTTATTGATATATAGCATGTTTCAATTGACATGACCATTTCCAGAGATCCAGAGGAAAGCTTTTGAAAGGAAAGCTTATATATAGTTTTATTGTAGAATTGATCATCCCCAGAGATCTAGAGGGAAGCTCTTGAATTAGAAGCTTGTACATAAAACATGTTTAATATGTATATATTATCTCCAGTGATTACTGACAATAAATAAATCTAACTATTTACTTCAAAAACGAGTTTTAGTCTTGTTCCCAGCACTTCCAGAGCAAAAAATACTGTAAAACACGGGGTTTTGTAGCATGTGTTTTCTTAAACTAAATAGACTAGAGCTAGAATAGAATTAGGTAGAATTAAATTGGATTTGAGTTAGAGCTAAGATAAAACTGAAGTAAAACCGAATTTTAATAAACTTGTATTGAACTATAACTATAGCCTAATTGAAATTAGATGAGATTTGAATTAGAAAGGAATTAGAATTAAAATTAGAAGTTCGCCAGAATAAGATGTAAACGCTTGAGCTATAAGCACAGAATTACGCTCGCAAAGATTTCCAACCGTTTCATGTAAAGGACAGAGTGTCCTCGCAACTGCGTGTCAAGCTGTTTGGAAATGCAAGTGGCAACCGCATTGATACCAGTCAGCAGTTAATGCACTCAGACTTGTATATGGAGATTTGGACAAGGACGAAGGAAGTGTTGAGCTCAGACGGTTTCAGACGTAAGCAAAAAGAACAGATGCCTTGAGGTGAGAAGTAAGTTCAGATGCTAAACCAAAAAACCTTGAGAAAACACAAAAAACACAAAAACAATTCTGAGAGACTCTTGCTTGGACCCCCAAAATCAGAAGAATCAGAAAACCAAAAAACCTTGGGGAAACCAAAAAAACCAAAAAAAACAAAAACAATTCTGGGGAAGTCTTGAGGAAAAGGGGGTCCAGCCAAGAGTCTCTGAGAATTGGTTTTTTTGGTTTTTTGTTTTTTGGTTTTCACAAGGTTTTTTTGGTTTTTTGTTTTTTCTGATTTTGGGGGGTCCAGCCAAGAGTCTCTGAGAATTGTTTTTTTTTGTTTTCCCAAGGTTTTTTTGGTTTTTTGTTTTTTCTGATTTTGGGGGGTCCAGCCAAGAGTCTCCCAGAATTGTGTTTTTAGTTTGTTTGTTTTCCCATGGTTTTTGGTTCTTTTTGTTTTTTTCTTATGAGTTTTTTTATCCTTTATGCATATTTATCAGTGTTTTTTGGTTTTGATTGTGGCACTGATGCATTTACCTAATATTTATGAACATTTATGGAAAACCAAAACCCAGGCCCCATGGCCACCCCTTCTGTTTACTTTACTGTATATATATTTTTTTTTGGGGGGGGGGCTGGCCAAACTCAGACTTTGACCGGGATAACTTCATGTGCTTGGCAGGTTTTTCCAGTCTACGCCAATCTAATCAGAGTTAGTCGGTCTGATGGTCAGACGGTCAGACATTGTCCTCGTCGTCGTGTTATTTTTGGGCGCGCTGCGCATGAATCCGTGTGGGGGCACCACAAAATAGTTCTGGGACTGCTCACTCAATGCCAACGGCTCAGGCCTCCGAACTCAACAAGCTTGCTGGGAATTCAATTTCCTCTCCAGTTGCGGGCTCCTTATTGGCCGTTGTTCTGGCAGGCAGGGAGTTTCTGAATGTTTCTGAGGTGTCAAACGACTGGACTCTGACTCGGACTCTGACTTTGACTCTCACTGTGTTTATGCAGCATGGTCCCGGTTTCCCCAACGCGGTCAAACCTCAGCACAGACCACCCACGTTGGCAGGTGTAAGATTCCGGGCAAGCTCCAGCACGCTTCGATCATCAAAAGCTCCTGGCGAGGTTTTGGATCGGTGGAATTCAGATGCCAATTTGGCAACCATTCGTGTCGGCAGCTTGAAGGTGGGATCATCGAGGACTAAATACGATTCCTTGAAAGATCCTGCAGCTTCGCAGACTCTCAAGCCCCTGGAAACGCCCAAGCCTAAGGCTCAGGTGCAGGCCAAGGGTCATGCCCACAAGGTGGCCAAGCCCATGAAGGTCAAGACCCAGGGCAAAAAGAAGGGGAAGCCGGCGGCTAGACAAACACGGCTCACTTCCTTGTTCAAGGTCAAGTCCAAAGGTGGCCACTGAATTTTGTTGGGTAACGAACGTAGTGCAGCACACGGTCGTTGTTCATCATCAGCTCGAGATTCTGTGCTGTAGTGATGTGGACCGCCTTTGTGTCACTGACGCCAATTGAGGGCCGCCAGCCAGCTAGTGCTGAATGCGCTCGTTGAATGAAGACTCTGTGACTCACAGACAAAATGTGCTAGGCCAGCTGCTTGCTTGACCCTGTGTCAGGTATGCTTCAGTGTGTTTTTGTTGACAGCTGCAGGCTGAAGTGTATCCAATGATTGCGGAGCGGTTTGAAGTGGGGGGTTGCGTGTTCGGTGGTGATCGATCATGTTGTGTTTTCACGAAAGCTAGCGAAGCTAGCTGGAGTTACTCTTGCGATAGCAAGGTTTCTTTCGACCGGGTGCAAATCCTAACCACTGTTTCAGGTCGAAGCCCCCCCCCTCCCCTCTCCCCACCTCCCCTCTCCTCCTGCTTGTCTTCCTCCCACCTTCCCTCCCTCCCTCCCTCCTCCCTCTTCGCAAGTTCGACTCCGTCCTGTCGTCGCTCTTAGGCATGCGGTTAGTGTTGCGTATCTTGCGGCCGCACTCGCTCACTCTCACTGTCTCACTGTCTCTCTCTCTCTCATCTCTCTCATCTCTCTCATCTCTTTCTCATCTCTCTCATCTCTCTCTCCTCTCTCTCTCTCTCTCCTCTCTGTCTCTCGTCTTTCCGTCTCTCTTCTCTCTCTTCTCTCGCAGGAGGATCCGGGCAAAGAGCCACATATAAAGGACTCTTCACCCCTGCCTCCAAAAAGAGCGCCGTGTTTTTTCCTACCTCGCTGCCCTCCACTTTCCCATTCTGGAGCGCTAGCTTTCGCACCCCCCCTTGGCCTCAAGTTCATGTTTTTCATTTTTCTCACTTTTTGTGTTTTTGTGATGTTTCGAAATTGTAGAAAATGTTTTTCTTGGTTTTTCTTGAGGATTTGTGTAAAACTATTGAAATCTTAGTTTTATATTTTTTCAAAAGTGAAAAAGTAACAAAAACTGAAAATATATTGTTTTTGGACATTTCTTGAGAATTCTAAAATGTTGAGTTTCTTTAACTTTTGTAACTTTTTGATCTCAGGCCAAAATTTATGGACGCCGGCCTAAGCAGTTTTCCGAAGTTTTGGGGGTATGTTGGGGCCATGTTGGGTCATCTTGGGGCCATGTTTGCGGCTAGGTATGTTGACCTAAGTTGGGGCTCTTTGGCATGTTGCTCGAATCTCGGGGCCATGTTGGTTAATCTTGGGGCCCATCTTGGGGCTATGTTAGCTTTAGAAGCTAGAAAAGTGGAGGTGCAATAAAACCATAAACTAACTACAAGGTTTTTATCCCCCCGACATTGGGGCTAAATTTGTCGCCAAAGATCACCTACTTCTTCACGTGCACGCAGTAGCCCGTTTTGGGTCTATGTTGGCAAGTTGGCACCATGTTAGATCGTTTTGGCGCTATGTTGCGGCCATGTTGGGCCATCTTGCGGCTACGTTTGCCTATCTTGGCTGTATGTTGCCGTAACTTAGGGACGTTTGCTTGTGGATGCAGGTGAAACGGGCACTGGGAAACTTCTTTCACGCTTCCGTGTTTCTTCCGAACTGGTTTGATGATTCTGCCTGATGATTCTGCCTGCCAAAGCCGAAATCCGAGAGAATCCTGACAACCTGAGAACTGTAGGTTGCCGTGGCTTGAGCTTTTCCTACATTTGGCCGCTGCCTGACTGAAAATCCTTGTCAAAATTTATTTGGGATGTATGTTCGGCAGCTGTGGTTTAGCTGTGGTGTTGCTGTGGGTGCTCAGGCCCGGACTTAATGTGTACTCTTAAAAGGCTTGGCTTTGCAGCCTGATCCAAGGACGTGTCAAACCCGCTGAAGCCCTTCAACTTGTCCCACGCCTGGGCGATGCGGGTCTTGGAGGAGTTTTTTCTCCAAGGGGACTCTCCTCCAGCATGTTTGGTGAGGGACGGGGGCAGAAAGCCGTGCTTGCACGTCGGCTACCACGAGAGCACATCGCCGGTTTTGGGGACACAATTGGTTGCAAGTGTTGCAAATCTTGATTCCTGCACGGCTGTAGCTCAGTTCGGTGATGTCGCTGCCAATTAGGGACCCGAGCCATGAGGTCAAAAGAAACATTCCAGTGGGTATCACGTTCTACTTGACTAATTGTTGTTGGCACTCATTGCTTTGCATTGCTTGAGGATGAGGAGAAGCAACAGGGGCTCCCAGTGGGCATGCTGAATGATCGCGAGAAGGTCAATAAGGCGGACTCCCAGCATGGTGCCTTTGGTATCCTTTGGTACCATATTTTGCGGCCAGTTTTGCACGAAGCAGCAGAAAGAAACGCTTGCAGATGCTGATGCTGAAATAACATCAGAAGAACCGAGGATTCATCACTTTCCTCGTCTCCCCCTTGGTTGTCCCGGCGATCAACCTTTTCCCACAGTTCACCGACTTACACGTGCAGATGCTTGATTTGACGATGAAGCTCTTGGTTTTGCCATGTCTTTCCTACGAACCTACAGGTGGGTCAGCAGCACAAGGATTGCCATTCTCACAGGAGACATAGCACACATAAAGCTCCTTGAGACAGATCGGACCTGCTGGTGAGCTCTGAAAAGAAGAGCGATCGGACCTGTGCGCACGCGAAAGCCAGAGAGACCTCATGTGTCACGTCCGAGCGTGTCCGACCGAGGATGGTGGTGAACTTGGAGAAGTGGCGGGACCAATGGATCTTGGATGTGAAGCCCTCTGAGGAGGCGATTGCCAAAAAGGAGGAAAGTCTTGCGAAGCACCATGGCTGCAGCAATTGGAATATGCAGTGTTTTGATAGAGGACTTGGATAAGATTTCATTGAGCTCGCAGGAGGTGCGCATTTTGATTTTCCATTTTGCAGCCACTTGCAAGTGGCTGCCAAGTGGCTGCAAGTGACTGCTACGTCTGTCCGGAGAATATCATGATTTCTCCGCATGCAGTTCTGAAGAAAACCAAGATTTCTGCAACGCTTTTCTGCGAGGAAATTTTCCAAGACTTTTCCGAGAATAAATTCTAATCTTCTGCAGAGCTAGCGACGAAGAAATCTTACAGTTTTTACATAAAGATCTCAAAGTGCAGTGTTGAAACTTACTTGCTTGAGTGACAAGTGGCTGCAAGTGGCTGCCTGAGCAAGTGGCTGCAAGTGGCTGCAAATGACTGCAAAACCAAAAATCAAAATGTACGTCATTTGCTCGCTCTCTGCAAAATTTGGACTAGCTGAGCCAAGAGCCGTCCCAACAGCCAGTGTTTTTTGCTGGTGTTGATGGCTTGAATCAAATGCATGAAGCTGCCAAAGATGGCTTGAATCAGCACGTGCCCAGACCACCAGCCATCGAAGGTCCAGAGAAATGACTGAGCGGCTACTTGCCCGCCGCTCCTCGGTTGAAGACAGCAAGTAAGATCTACACATATCATATCTACATGATATCATGCTCAGTGATTCAGAGCCATGTCATTTCAGTTAAAACCTGACGGTTATTTGATGGTATAGCACTATTCATTGAGACTATTCAAACACTGAAAAAAGAATGTATATATATATAAAGATGTATGTAGAATACAATATAGACCGACACATACCTATGATCTACAGTTTGTCTATTTATGGCTAATGTTTTGTCCTTCATGGAGCAGCTGAATTGCACTTTCCACTACCGCTTTGCGTGTCTGTCATTCGTTTCACACTTAGGTCGCCCACGCGAGAGGATGGCCCCACCAGCCCGGTCAAGCCAGTGGCCCTTCCGCGACAAGGACACGGAATGACGTGAAGTTGAAGAGACCTTCGGCAGTTTGGAGGACCTCCCGTGGGACGAAGCCTTCGAGTCATTCTTTTATCACATCTATGTGTGGCTTGCGGCAACTCCGTCCTTCCTTTCTTCCCTCCTTCCTCCCGCTTCCTCCTCTTGCAATAGCCATAACTTACTTGCGCAACTCAACTCACACACCTCAACTTACACAACTAATTCACATAACTCAACTTACGTACCTGTCTCCGTGGCTCTTAGAGGCTGTGCTGTAGCTCCCGGACTGTGTTTGTCTCCGGGTCGCCGCGCCTGTCCCCGTGGCTCTCAGAGGCTGTATCTCCAGGAGGAAGTCAATCTGATTCGACCGTGGCTTGGAAGCCGGTTCACTGAGGCTTGTTTTACTGAGTTACGTAACCCGAAGTAGGAAGCGTAAGTTTGCGGATAGAGCTTGGAGATGTATTTCAGTAGCTGGAAAAACCTTTACGCGGACGCGGAGAGCCATAAACGCAATTGAAACGCAGTCTACTTCGCTGGACTCACCTTAGCACATTTCATTTGTTCAGCTTCACTCAACTCACACAACTCTGCAAAACTCCTTCACACTTTTCTCGCTTCAACTATCTTCAAATCACCTTCGCCCTACATGAGGCTTTATGTGTCTTTCGTTTGGCATGTTGTGACATGAACAAAGCTAGACGTGTGGGGTTATCCGGTCTTTTATATTCTTTGATCGGAGAGTGTGACGGTGGAACGGGGGTCACAGCTGCTTTACTAAAGTATTATTGTGTGAAAGCATTTGCAAGTTTCCCTGGTCGTCCTCAGACCTTGGTCCTCCCTCGCCGCACTGGCCCGAACTATACCTCTCCTGAAAAGGAGCGTCATCCGTGCGCGCCATTGCAGCTGCGCTTTCCGCTGTTTGTCAGTGGTAGCGGAGCCCGGGTGACGACCTGGGCTCCGCAGGAGGTGGACTACATCCTTGGCCGGGGGACGCCCCGGACCAGATCCGTCCAACGACCTCGACTTCCTCGAGTGCTTCGTCTCGTCCCCTCCGAGAAGGCCTTGGTTTTCCTTTGGGTGTGAGCTTTGAGATTGAAGAGCGCTACGCTGGTCTTCACTGGCGGCGGCTTGGGTAAGCGGCCTGCGGCAGCTTCGCCTGTCCTTCTTGGTCGCGACCACGGGCTACCAGGTTCTACACCCTGGACGCCTTCAAGTAGCAGTTCAAACTGGGATTGTCCCTGACGGGATTGGTGGATGTCAGCCGAACGGCTACATCGATTTTGGAGAGGTGGCATTGGAGCCACCACTACATCACCGGCTCCCTCGATGGCAGCCCCTCCGAGGTCACCGGCGGCAAGTCGTCAGCGACCTGATCACCAACGACCTTCACCTGTACATGACCCCGGTGATTATAGAGAAGGGCGTGACCATGAGGATCCATGGGCAGCGGCAGCAACGGCGGCAGCCACTTTGGTTAGGCCTCCAACGCCTGCCGGCTCCACTTCCGGTGCACGAGACCGGAAGTTCGTGGACTACAAGGTAGATCCTGCACCATCTTGGGGAGGTGATCTCCCTGAGAAGAACTACAAGGAGTACATCAGGAACATGAAGCTTTGGTTAGTTGAGGCGGAAGCACGCCTACCACACAACCTCATCGGCAAAAGAATCATTGATAGCATTCCACTTGGTTCAAAGCTGTCAGCATTGGTTGCACATTTGACGGTGGATGAGATCACCGCAGAGAATGGCCACAAGACCATCATCGACATCATCGAGGACGCCCACGAGTACCTGCGAGACCTGAGGCTGGAATCTGCGTTCGACGACGCGATCTTCAAGGGTCGACGAGAACGTGGCCAGACCCTGACGAGCTTTCTCACTCGGAAGAAAGCTGCATTTGCAGGGCTGAAGAAGCAGGGCTTGGATTTGCTCACCTCGAGCCCTGGCAGGCACTTGTTGGGTCATTTGATCCTACGGCAAGGCTCCTTCACTCAGGACCAGCGGCAACGCCTCAAGGTTGTCACCAATTCAATGGGTCCATCGACTACAAGGACATCGAGGTGGCAATCCAAAAGGTATTTGGTGATAAGTTGGATGAGGCCCATCATCATGGTGACCACCCTGGCACACCAAGGCGCTGGAGGAGCGCTACCTTCTTTGATCTGGAGGTGGCGGAGGAGTTCATCGATGATGACGGTGACACCTACTTGGACTATGAGTTTGAAGATGACGACATCTTCTCCGACCTGATCGCCCTTGCGGACGACGGCAGTGAAGCCCAGTTCATGGTCAACCAGGAGATGCCCGGTGTGATGGAAGAAAGTGAAGCTGTGGAGCTGATGGGCGAAAGCCTTGAGGAGATCTTCTATGAGACCCAACACCGGCTCTATGGTGGCCATGGCGGAAAGGGCAAAGGCAAGGCAAAGGAAAAGGCAAGGTGGCACTTCCCGCACTTTTGGAGTTGGAGCCCCAGGCTTTGGACGTGGAGGCGGCTACCTGGAGCATCGACGACTCTTGCAGGCCACTCGCAATGCAAGAGGATTTGAACGACCCTGGCAGCAACGCCAAGGCTCCCGGATGTCACTGAGTGACCTGAAGTCCAAATCCAGGTGCCATCAATGCAAGCAGATTGGCCATTGGTCACGTGAGTGTCCCCAGAGAGGCAAGAACATGACCTCACCTTCATCCCGGAGCTCGACTTCACGCGTGAGCGGCACTTCATCCATGTCCACAGGGTTTTTCACGTCACGACCAGCGGCGATGGCCAACTGGTTTTTGACGACCACCTCGGATCAAGTCAGCAATCAATACACGCTCACGCTGCTTTCGTTCGTTTTCCTCGGTTCGAGTCCGGAGAGGGGGATGGCATTGGTTGACACGGCAGCCCAGCATGGTTTGGTCGGTTTTGAGACCCTCAGGAGGCACGATCAACATCTACAACAATTTTTTGTTTCGCAGGTCCAGTGGTCAACCGAACATGGGGGCTCGGTTCGTGGAGTATGCGGTCAGGAGGAATCCACGAAGATAGCCTATGTACCTATTGGATTGGGTGGCATGAGCGGTGTACTACGAGTTCAGGTTGTCCCTGGTGAGATCCCATTCCTCCTGCCGGCATACTTCTTGACGGAGTTGCAAGCGGTGATTGACATGCACAACCTGGTCATTTGTTACATGGCACATTCAGTTCACCAACGCATGATGAGGATGTCCACCGGTCACGTTGCTGTTTGCATCACGGAGTTTGGTTCGGGTTTCAACGTCCCCACCGATTTCGCTGGCACCAAAAGTCAAGTTTGGTCGGTGAAGGCCAACGACGTGTCGCACCGCCCCTCGATCCCTTATGCCTCCGGCAGCTCAATGGCTGGGCCGCTGGCGGCGCTTGCTGCTGCGCTTGTGGGCATTCATGGTGCTGCAGGCTCAGCAGTGCTTCATGGAGGTGATCCGAACTCCCCAACTCCGTGGTGTCCGACGACTACAACGCCAGCGAGAAGAGTTGGAACAGTACCCCTTGCTTTGGCACAGGAGGAGCAGAGGATGCTGGCGGAGGTGGCAGACGCCAATACTGTGAAGCCTGGAACGACCTTTGAGACCGCTGGCATGCATCATGGGCAAGGGCAAATATTTGGTACCATGCTTGGAAGACAGGGCCCATTGCAGGCACCTCAACACCAAGCATGGCGCGAACAAGAACATGAGCTTTCAGAAGTGCACCAATTGCCAACAAGAACAACAAATGCCCTTGACGCCGATCAGCCAGCTGGAGAATTGGAACAACACCCTTGTGCATTCCAAGCACGAGTTCTACCAGAAGAAGCAGATCAAGGAGGAGAAGAAGGCCAAGAGCGAGACCCAGTCGGTCACTGGTTCGGAATGGACGCAAGTCCCACTGGCCCACGGCTACAAGTTCAAGACACCAACGGTCAAGGCCACAGCCGTGAAGAGCAAAGCCAGCAGGAACCCCAACATCCCGGTGTTCTCTTCATCTGCCCGAGATGCAACGCCCAGGAGATGACGACGGCACCGGATGTCGCGGCAGATGCACAGCACACCGAACTGATCTGCATGAACTCTCAGTGCAGCCTGGCAATCTACCTCTACCAGCTTCCGGATCACTACATGAGGATGGGACAGTTCAACATCGAGAACCTGAACCTGTAAGCAGTTGGTGGCTCAGTTCACCACCACCTCATGCAGATCCTGATGAGACCTATGGCGGCCTCTTGGACACCCTTCAGCTTGACCCACAGACCACCTTCGTAGCCATCGGATATGGCGATGTTGTCAAAGGCAAGTCACCGATTGTCACCAGCACCTTTGTTAGCCGACGTGTCATCCTGACACATGGAGGCGATGATTTGTGGTGCGCAGTTGATGTGACCAGCACCCCAGGTGACGATTACGCCTTTGGAGCCCCAGTGGACTATGTGGTCTTCTATGAGTTCAATCCGGAGTTCATCGATTACATGAACGAGACCGAGTATGAGAACGAGGTCACACTTTCAAAGGCCGACAAGGCCGAGGTCAATCGCAGCCTGGATGGCATGCTTGGTGACCTGACCACCTACTGGGCTCTGTGGGAAGAAGCGGAAGAGCATGACGATGTGGCTGAGATCTATGGCTCATTGTGGGACGCCGACGACTCCATTGTCGAGATCTACAGCCCTCCTCGTGTTGTCCAACGAGCACAAGCCAGAGGCCTGAAGGTAGAATTGTCTGTTGACCTTTCAACAGGCGTGGACCTGAGTCAACGACCACAGAAGGCTCAGATCCGACAAGAGCTACAACATCGCAAACCACGGCTGCTCATCACATGCCCTCCTTGCACCAAGTTTTCCCCGCTTCAGAACCTGAGATGGTATCCTGAGATGTTGCAAGAGGAGCTTGGGCCTGCCATTGAACACTTGGACTACTCCATGACTCTCCAAGAGGACCAACTACAACGTGGAGATCTTGGACTACATGAGCATCCACGGACTGCAACCTCATGGCAGCTCCCAAGTGTGAAGAAGTTTCTGGCCCATGACGCCGTGGTGTTGGTTAAAGCTGACCTTTGTCGTTTTGGCCTCAGAGTCCGGCAGAAGTTGAATAAGAAGGCCACCCTATTCGCAACCACCAGTGACTCCTTGGCAGTGAACCTCCAACGACATTGTAACAGCACAGAAGAGCATGAACCACTGGTCGGAGGCCTACCTCACAAAGCCCAAGAGTACCCACCTCGCTTGGTGGATGCAATCATGGATGGCCTCGTTGAGGATTGGGTGAGCCAACAACAAGGACTACCACAACATCTGCCAGCTCGAGGCGATTTTGAGCAGTGGTGCGATTCCATGCATCACAACGAGAAGTTTCACTGGCGCAAGTTTCACGACAGCGCAGTGCTGATCATCAAGAAGCCGGAGACGATCCCAAGGAGCGGACCGGCACATCGCATTTTGCGATGGACATGGGCCAAAGGCACCATCGACGGGAAGTGGCTTCAGATCGAAAGAGGACAACAAGGACAACCACCACGCTTCGAGATCCAGTATGACTACGTGATTGTCCTGTACTACTTCCCTGCAATCCAGCAAGTCTTTGGCACCGAAACCACCACCAAAAGCTCAGTTTCCACTCAGGAGAAGTCAATGATCCTCAGGGCTCATGTCAACTTGGGGCATCCACACATGAAGGAGTTCGTCAGACTTCTTCGAGCAGCAGGCACACGACCAGACATCATTGAGTATGTGCTGAAGGAGTTCTCCTGTGAAGGATGTCTCAAGAACGACGACAGGCATCACGACTCCCTGCTGCGACCCCAAGGACCTACGACTTCAACGTCGTGATTGGAGTTGACATCCTGTATGTCATGGGCTGTCAGCCAAAGGATGAGCATCCGATCCTCAACGTCACCTGCCTTGGAACGCTTTACTCCACCTTCTCCATGGTGGATCCCAACCGGAGATCATCAGAACTGGTCTGGTCAACTTTTCTTAGCATCTGGGTGCGAACTTTTGGAACTCCCAGCTTCCTGCTCTACGACCAAGGCCTGGAATTCCAAGGAGCTTTCGTCGAGGGACTTGAGGAACTTGGCATTCAGCCAATAGTCATTGACCGTGACTCACCACACCAGAATGGCACAGTTGAGCGAAGAGGCGGCCTGTTCAAATATGTCTACTACAAGACACGAGAGCTTCGACAACCAGCCGACCTTCGAGAAGTACAAGATATGGTCCATGAAGTCTCATGGGCATTGCAGACGATGACAAACCGAAGCGGCTATTCTCCCGCTCAACGAGTCTTTGGCAAGCAACCTGGCATCGCCATGGAGTTGCTCAATGATGCTGGCACCTTCGAACAGACACAGTCCTCCACGGGTGATGCTGCCTGGCAACGTGCACAGGAGATTAGAAATGCTGCACGCGCCCTTGTTGAAGTTGACGGCCGAGAACGACTCAACAGAGCCGTACGTGCACGACCAAGACGCCAAAGAGAAGAACATGAATTCCAAGAAGGAGATCCAGTCTATGTCTGGCGTCAGGGCAAGCGTGGCACTCAGGCGAAAGTCGGACCTTGCTTTGTGGTCCTCCAGAAAGGCAGCGCAATCTGGGTGACTCGTCGTGGAGAACTATATGGCGCTGCAACAAGACACAAGTTTTCCATGGGAAAGCGGGCGGCCCAGGGACTCGAATCCATCCCGGCTGAACTCCTTCGTGTCAAGGAACGACTGAGGTTCCATCCAGAAAAGCAGGGCTATGTTATGTTGATGTGGAGAAGGAGGGTGACCCACCAGAAGCAGCCTACCGTGACGCGATACCGGCACCAACCGTTGGAAACATCCAACGGAGGGCACCAGGAACACCCAGAGCACCCGGGACACCCAGACCAGCGCCACAGACACCGGTCTTTCAAGGACCCCCTGAAGGATTGAGAACATTTCAATCCATTCCAGCACCGGCCACACCGGCCATTGTCCGAGAGATGCCAATGACACCTGTTCCAGTACGAGCATCTACACCAGAACCACCGACGACAGAACAGGCAGTCGAGACACAGCAGATCGTTCACGATCACCAGCACCAAGAGCTTCACCAAAGCATCAAACATCAAGCGCGGCAGAACAAGCAGCAAACACACCGACAGCAGCAGAAGCACCAGCAGTGTCAATGCCTCAAGGCATGCGAGAAGCGGATGAGTTATGGAAGGCCACCGTTGAGAATCAGAGATCAAGGTCATCAGCTTCCACTGGGCCTTCAACTCAACCGACACATGAGAGCCTTCGAAGCTGGACGCGCTATGACCTCGAGGCTAAGCGCTACCGTGGATCCAACAGCAAAGGAAAACTCTGGAGTGATGTTCTGCGGCGGCTGACCCTCGACATCGACAAGAACAAGGTCATTCAAGACCTCACCATCACTGATGAACTTTCAGTGCACAAGCTTCATGAAAAGCTTCCAGAAGGTGTCAAGAACATCGAGACGACCTTGATCTACCGGCCCAAGCCTGGCAATCCTGACCCTGGCAAACCATATGAAGCACTACTTCCTCAGCCAGAGAGTCAACCAGTCAAGAAGGCCCGACTGAGTGAGCCACACTTTCCAGAAGAAGATGCAAGGCTCACTGACGTCAAGATGACCAAGAGCTTCCAAGCACCTTCTGCAGATGGACGTGTTGCAAATCTTTGGAATGTGGCGTGCTGATGATGTCACAGAGTGGGGCGACAAGCGGAAGTTTCCTGTAGTGGCATCTAGCCGCGATCTTCGAGTCTTCCACAAGCTGGAGCACAAGGACATGATGTATGCCCTCCGAGAGCCAGAGTTCTCATTGGCCTATCTCACCAAGCAGAGCGGCAAAGAGCTCGATGAACGCAAGCTGAACCACATTGAAAAGGAGATGTTCAGCAAGGCCAAAACTCTGGAAATCACCAATTTGGTGAACTCGAATGCCATCCAGATCATCATCGATGAGCATGAGCTGGCCAGAATCCGGAAGGACCTTCCTCACCGGATCATGCCGAGTCGCTTCATCATCACCAAGAAGGCCGGCGAAGTGGGTGAAGACTGGAAGGCAAAAGCACGGTGGATCCAGCTCGGACATAAAGACCCTGATGCCATGACCCAGGAGCGCTTTGCACCTACTCCATCCTCTACCACAGTCATGCTTTGCTTGCAAATATGGACGTCTCCAGTGCCTTCGGCCAGAGCGACCCACTCCCTGTGTATGAGAAGACTGCACTCATCCGAGTTCTCATCGCCGTTTACGGCCTAGACAGTTCGCCGACACCTCACAGATCTCGGGTACCAGGAGAGCGTCTTTGATCCTTGCTTGTACTACCTGCCACCGAATGATCAGGAGATCAACAATGGCCCAAAGCTGCAGGTGGCAGGAGTTGTTCTTTTGGATGTTGATGATTTTTGTCAAGGTGGCAATGAGCGTCACCAGAAGTTGATGGCCGACCTCCGTGGCAAGTTGAAATTTGGCAAATGGCGCAATGTCTACAACGACACCGCCGAGTACATTGGCCGCACCTTGCGACAGCTTCCCACCTATGAGATCCAAGTCAGTATGAAGAGGTACATTGAGGAGAAGCTGAAGCCTGTCACTTTGCCACGCGAGCGACTTCGCGACAAGGCATCCAAGCTGAGCGACCAGGAGGTGACTTGGCTGAGAGGGGTTGGAGGATCCCTCTTATGGATTGGAAAAGAAGCCCGTCCAGATGTTGGAGCAGCTTGCGCAATGGCCATGTCATGGAGCTCAGATGGACGCGCACCATCGACCACATCCTGATGGCAAACAAGACTGTCAACGAGCTCAAGGCCACGCATGAGGTGTTGCGCATCCTCCCCATCGGCGCCATGGATGGAATCTGGATGACCATCGTCGATGCCTCGATGGCCAACGTCGAGAACAAGTCTCAGGGTGGCTTCATCGTCGCCTATGCCAACGGCAAGATCATGCATGGCGAACGAGCGGACTTCAGCATCAACAGCTGGAAGTCGCATCGCCTCAAGAGGGTGATCAAAGCGACACTTGGAAGTGAAGCCCTGGCCATGGATGATGCCCTTGGAGAAGTTGAGTGGATCAGGGCATTGTGGCATGAAGTGATGAACCCTTCCTCGTCCGTGATGGACGGCAGTCGCTTGGGGCCGGAACCTTCGGCCATGGTGGTGAAGCTCCCTGATGAGGAGCCAGAGGATGTGAGAAGCATCCGGGTGAAGGATGACCGCACCGGCATCCATGTGACAGATGCTCTACGACCTGTTGCACCGGCGGTCAGGAAATGCTGGACACGACCGTCGAGCTCAAATAGATGTGGCAGTGATCCACGTGAGCGCCAAGGCCATGGGCATCGTGACGTTCTGGGTGCCCGGTAGCTTGATGATCGCAGACCCATTGACCAAGCGTCTTGGGAACAGCACTTTGCTTCGCCGCGTCATGAAAGACGCCAAGTTTGCTTTGCGCCGTGAAACTAGCGGCGATTGAGGTCGGAGGTCGACCATGAGCTCCCCCCTGAAGGATGTGAAAGCATTTGCAAGTTTCCCTGGTCGTCCTCAGACCTTGGTCCTCCCTCGCCGCACTGGCCCGAACTAGGGGCCCCTTGAGCCTCTCCTGAAAAGGAGCGTCATCTGTGCGCGCCATTGCAGCTGCGCTTTCCGCTGTTTGTCATGTTGTCTTTCTTGTGACGTCAAATAGTGCCCGTTGGGCAGATGATGAAGCTGTTCCCAAAGTTGCTCAGGAGGTCGACAAGGCTTGTCATGAGTTGGTCAATGCTCAGACGAAGAAATGTTTGTCATGACGCATGGCAGACCTCACCAAACCAGACAAGAAATTTCTTCAGGAAACACGTGATTTCATGATTGCCATGTCTGGCCAGGATTGATCGTTGAAGTGGGTGTTCTGCCTCTAAGAGGTTCTGAGATCCACGGCCGGCCGATTGGGCAGAAGAGGCGAAGCCTGAAGATGCCACGGTGAAAATGCACATAAATGCACTCACAACCGGTCCAGGATGGAAACCAGTATCTTTTGCTAAAGACATCTCATCTCAATTCAATGGTGATTCTTCTTGAAGGCTGAACGTGTAGTGCAGCAATGCTGGACAACTGCTTTCAGAAGCAGATGGTGTGGCATGGATAAGAGAACTAAGCTTGCAGAGTCCACACATACTGTGGTTCTTTGCACTGAAGGGGGCTGTGCCATCGAGGCCAGATCAACCCTGAAGCCAGGCCGAGTGCAAAAAAGACAATGTGAATCGTTCATCTCTTTCATCTCTCAGAATCTCGATGAACGTTGCAAAGGAGTTTTATTGTATAGCTTTATTTCTGATATCCCGACGTTTCTCTTTTAGCCGCCACAAAATTCCTCCTGAGGTCTAGATATGGTAGACATGAGTAGATGCTTGCCAGCAGGTTGTAGAATATTTTAGTAGATATGCAGACTTTCCGATTAGAATCTCGCTGCAATCCAGGGCTTCAGCAATCTTCGGCTTGGCCGACTCCTGCAATCCAGGGAGGGATCCTAAAGATACGTGTGAGACCTGCCTGAGGTCAAGCAGATTTTGCAATCTGCAGCGTCGGTGCAGATGCGACATATTTTGTGGTTGGAGGCCGGCAGCCAGCAGTTGAAGTCTTGGGGCCAAGGTGCAAAAATGTTGTTCTCTTCTGCGACATGCTATTTCTGCAGCAACCGCCTTCAGTATGTGCAAGGATCAATTACAAAAGCTTCATACCACCACAGTTTGGTGAGACCCTCTTGCCCTCTTGGCCTAAATTTTGGCGGACACCAGACACCAGTCGAGGTGAAGAATAACCTCCTTCGGGATGAGAGGGCCCAGGCACGTCCGAAACGGGTCATTCAGCATTGGAGCCGGCATTAACTAGCGGAGGGCCATTTAATTTGGGATTTTTGTTTTTTTAAAGGAATTTTTGTTGCTTTTTGTGGCTTCTGTGGCTTCTGTGGCTTTCGTGGCTTCTGTGGCTTCTGTGGCTTCTGTGGCTTTCGTGGCTTCTGTGGCTTCTGTGGCTTCGTGGCTTTCGTGGCTTCTGTGGCTTTTGGCTTTTGTGGCTTTCGTGGCTTCTGTGGCTTCGTGGCTTTCGTGGCTTTCGTGGTTTCTGTGGCTTCTGTGGCTTCTGGCTTTTGTGGCTTTCGTGGCTTCTGTGGCTTTTGTGGCTTTTGGCTTTCGTGGCTTTTGTGGCTTTTGGCTTTTGTGGCTGTTTGCTACTAGTCCATATTTGTCTATATCTATCCGTCTATATCTATCTGTTTGTCTGTCTATCTGTCTGTTGTGTTGTGCTTTTCTTTTTATTCGCTTTGCAGAGAAGAACCCAAACAAGGAAGCAAGCAAGCAAGCAAGCAAGAGCTGCTCACCTTTGGATCTGGTGTGCTGCTGGGGGGGTCGCTGCGCCCCCCCCCCAACCCCCCCGCCCCACGAAATCTGCACTTCATCTCCGCCACCCGCGCCTGCCACGAAACCTTTCTCTTTGCTTTTCTGCTAACTGCACCAAACTGTTGTGATAGTCTGACACCTACACTATTCCAATGCAAATCTGTCTACCTATCCATTTGTCTGTCTATATCTATTTATCTATCTCTCGATCTATCTATCTTTCTATCTTTCTTTCTTTCCTATCTATCTATCTATCTATCTGCACTTCAACATCCACAAAGTCCTTCACCTGCCACGAAATCGAAATCGGCACTTCAAGGCCCGCAAAGCACTGCACCTGCCTGCGCCTGCCACGAAATCCGCACTTCAACATCGACAAAGTCCTGCGCCTGCCACGAAATGTGCATTTCAAGGTCCACAAAGTAGCATTTCAAGGTCCACAAAGTACTGCACCTGCCACGAAACACGAAAAACAAAAAAAATACCAAAACAAAACAAAAAAAACTAAATTAAATCCGAGCCCTTAACTAGCAATGCATGCAGCTTGTTCCAAAGTGCGACCGTGGTTTGTACTAAGTCACAGGTGGGTAAAGATGGTAAAGATATTAGGATTTGCTCCGACACCGACGGTTTGGGCGACGGCAGCTTCTTCAACACTTATCATTCGGGAAACGCCAGGCGTTGGGGCGATTTTGCTTGCCGCACTTCCGGAAGGTGGCCAAAGTGCTGGTGACAGACTTAGAAACGACCGCAATGAAACCTTCTACAGTAGTGGCACACACCCCAAAAACAGATCAAAATCAAAAGACAGCAAACTTTTCCAACAACATATACTGTACACAACGCACTTGACACACTTAATTAGCCATGAGTAGTGGAACCAGCTGTTGGGTCAAAGGGACATGCCAGCAAGGGATGAGCAACAAAGCAATCTTTCCTAAAACTGGGTGGAATGGATGAGGTTGGACAGCCAAGTGGGGATTACTTGCACCATGTCCTTGAGCAGCTCCGAAAAGAGAAGCAGGCCCAGCCAACTATTGGGTAACACTGATCTCATAAGACCAATCTCACAAAAACACACACATACATATCGCATGGGCATCATGCTTGGTCTCATGCTTGTCAGTTTTTCCACATATGTTAAGTTATGTGCCTTTCATTGCTTTTGCCATGCAATGCATGAGATCTGTTCTGAAATAGCTCGTAGAAAGCTAATGTCTGAAATCGTTTTGTTCCTCGGCCTTGCTTGGCCTTGGCTTCCAGGCCAAGGCTGATGCAGAATTCCTGCAGAAGCGGCAGCAGTCTGCCCAGCTCAAGTTGCAGCGACCTCACTGAGCAGAATGAGCGGAAAGCAAACCTTTCATTCAGTTCCAGGTCTGAACAGAAGACATGAAACGAGAGCAGTTGAAGCCTTTTCTATTCCTAACTTCATCTTTTAATGTTGCCCTCTTTTGGACCTTCATTCATGTTTGTTCCAATTGTATTGAGGCTGGAGATGCAAAGAAAACAGGCCAGGTGTGCTTTGAGCCGCCCAAAGCCCAAAGGGCGCTTTTGCACCGGTACCCAGGCAGAATGGGCAACGAGAAAGGCTGAGTTGGCCCAAAAGCAAGCCGAAGAGGATGGGTGCTTGGCAAAGGGCCCGCGAATGGTGGTGTTTTCGTTTTCATCCTTAAGTGTCACGCCAATTTTTGTGCAGTGTTAAGCAGATGAAGCAATTGTGTCGTGCGTTCAGGGTGCTGATCCGGTCACGGGCTTGGATATGCTGAGAACGTGTTGGACTATGAAAATCATTGGCCTACCATGGCTTCAGATTTGTCAGAACATGTTAGTAGTCAGTAGAAGCTGCACATCACAAATGAACCTTTACATGTTCTCTTGACAACTTCATCAAAGCAAATCATCAGAAATTTTGAGGATGACTAGGTCCTACGACCACACGCAATTGCATGTGATTCTGAGGCTGCCGTAGACGAGGTCCAATTCTTGAGCACCGTAATTGGTAAATATCAATGAGTAGACGTCAATTGTCAATTCAAATCAGGATGTTATGATGTTCAGTGGCCACACGATAATATGTAGGAATGTAGGATGAATCACTCTTCGATATGAAACAAAGAAACTCCGCTCATATCATATCGTTGCCTGATTTAAACATCGATACATGTGAAGTTCAATGTTCGAAGGCGATGGGAGAAGAGCCCACAATGGAGGAGGCTTGAATTTCAAGTGCTAGGCAGAGATGCACCGGAATGCTTCCTTGCTGCCATGTCATCTTTCTCCAGGAAGGGGAGAAGCCTCCAGTGGTCGAGCTGACAGAAGCGGAAAAACAGCAGTGCTTTAGGACGAGACCTTAGCACTGAGCACTCTTTCAGAGCCAAGAGAATCAGAGGGCCTCCAACTGAGGCCAAAGTCGGATGCTGTGCCAGATTTATCAACAGCAGCTTTCAGCTCTGATCTCGGTCAAATTTCAGATGAGTTGTCTCGTCAATTTCTATTTTTGATCCATGGCCCCGAACAAACAGCAGAACAGAACAGAACAGAACACCTGCTCGTATAATCTTATATGTTTCAACCGATTCAACTGTAGGGCTCATACAGATTTTGTTCTCATGGCATCAGCCCTCTAGCTGATGAACAAGCCCCCTTGTTAGGCAGCAGCTTTTCTGGCTTCAGTGTGCCGGGTGACGAGGAAGGCTTTGATGAGGTGGGATGAGACATGGCATGATGGCAGTTCCGGCTCATGATGAAGTGCGTTGCTGGCGCATTTGTGCCCCTTCTGCTCCTGTTTGCCTGAAACTGAAACGTGGGTCCAGCTGGCAAACAAGAATGGGAAGAAGGTTCGGATACAACAGAACTGGTGGGGTGTCGCGGTCTCCCGAATTCTCTGTCAAACTCCTTGTAGCCATTTTGGCCAGTCTTTCCGACCAGACAGCAAGTCAGGTGGAATTTCCATGGCAGCCGCGGGCAGCAGTAGAAGATTACATGAAGAAGCTTGATGCCCATCCAACCGAGCCTTCCTTGCGCGTGGATTCTTAGCCCAGTCCTGATCCTAGGTGGGTTCAAGAGCGCAAGGTCATTACGCACGGAGCTTGGCACACCCCTGCGCTGTTGCACGTAGGTGGAAAGCAACAGAGGTTTTGGTATCTGATGAGGTTATTCGGATTCAATCCCCACTGGGTAAATCGTAGATAGCGCAGGTTTTACAAGGAGACTCGGTGAGGACAAGAAACTCCATTTGCAAGGTTGTTCGTTGTAACATCCTCGAGAGTTTCCACTGTGCCTGATGTACTGAGCGGGAATGCTGTTGAGCTGAGGCGTATTGATGATTTGCAGCCAAGTGAATGGTTCAGAGAAAAGTGCACAGCCCAGGAGTCATAGAAAGGGGAAGACGTCTTGATACAGAACTTGCCTTTTTGGCCTTTTGTTTTCTTCTAAGACTTTGGACACGCCTGATGCCTCACGCGCTAGTACTGATATGATATGACTCTACTACGTGCATATTGACATGCCAAGGTGGCAGAAGTGGCAGAAGGATTTGCAAAGTTGGCATGTGAGAAACCTGGAACTTGTATATACTTCAAATGGTTTGGTTGGCCATGTTCTTCAGTCAGGTGAAGCACATCGAGTTCAAGGAGATTATATAGTTTAAATTACTCCCGCTTGTGGAGACCAGGTCGGGGGTCGTTCAATAATGCGCCACCAGAGTTCCCCAAAAGGCAGTTGTGGAGAATATGCCGAATGCGAAGCTTTTGGCGCCTCATGCATGACCGGAACAGGGCTTTTCCTGGAGAGGCAACACCAAAAAGATGTAAGACAGCTAGACTCTGCAGAGTGAGAGAGGGAGAGAGAGAGAGAGAGAGAGAGAAAAAAAAAGAAGAGATGTGCAGCTGCCCCATTGAAGTAGATGAATCTATGACTATAGTCGTAAAGGATTTTATGGAGAAGCTGAAGTTGTCACTGTAGTAGATGCATAGCTGCATAGCATACATGGCTTGTGTACATGGGATTCCGAATCATCTCCTTGTGTCTTCGCCTGCCATGGCGACCTTCGTGCCTGTGGCTCACAAGGCCGCTATTCTAAGACTGACATGGCAGATCGTGGCAGCAGAGCATGATGAGGAGCATTCTGATCTGAGGTCTTAGAGGTGACTGACCGAGCTTGGCAGAAGTCCTTAACGTGTTCTAAACAGCCTCGTAGAGTAGGGATGTCTATGAGAGTAATCCGCCGTGTTTTGACCGGGTCCATTTCTGTAACTGTAACACCTCAGAGGGTAAAGCAGTAATTTTATTGAAGTTCCATTTGGCGGACTCCTTGGGACATGAGGTGACATGGTCAGCCTCCATCGCTTCGCCGGCTTCGGTTCGGCCAACCCACAGGCCAGGCGTTGGCGACAGTCGGGGAGCTGCCCAGGGAAGCCTAGGGAAAAACTTGGGGTGAGTTGAGAGTTGTAGATTCTTCTGAGATCGGGTCGGTATTCAAAACCGTTGGTGAAATGGCAGCCCAACTCCCTGCAGGTCTGGCAGAGCTGACGGAGGCAGGACTTTCCTGTTTTGCTTTGTTGGATGCTTCATGCATTGCGTTGGCAGAAGCGGGTTGTGACTTTTGCGCGAAGACCCGAAGACACGCGAAGACACGAAGACACGAAGACACGCGAAGATATGAAGACACGAAGACACGAAGACAAGGCTTCAGGTCGTCAGCAGGGTTTCAAGGCTTCATGTCTTCAGAGGAAAGTCACCCGGGATTGCCAGCACACTGTCCACATGCTTTTGATAGCAGCTTCCATGGTTTAGGGCACTTTACAGTAATATTGTGTGAGGCTCATCTCAGAGCACGTGGGCCTTGGTCACTGCCCTTGCCGTCTCAGTCGCAAGCTCAGTGGGAAGTGGAGGACGCAAACGGCAGAGGAGGTGATTGCATGCTGTCGTGGCAGGCTGGAGCCAATCGAAAAAGGAACGAGCATCGACTAAGAGGCCTGCAGTGGGTCGCAAGCTGCTGACGCCAGTCCCTTGCTGCGCTTAGGGCTTGCAATGGAAGCAAAAGGCTTTGCCACTGCAGTTTGGCACCAAGTTTGAACGAACATACATTTCTTGCGGAAGAACATGTTGTGTTTGATGTGAAGCTTGCTTTGTTGACAGGAATGGATGGAAGATACCAACGAACAGATTGCAACTAGGGCCGGCAACTGTGTTGATGCCGGTGCCATAGCCACAGACTCATGGAAAGGAAGAGTGTCCTTTGTCAGGGAAGTTCTTCGTCATCCAGTTCATCCTCGTCCACCAGCCTTACTACCAAAAGTGTGGCACTCATCCACAGTGCGAGAGGATATATAGAACAATATTGATGATTGTTACGTGTGAGTTTTTTCATTGCGCGAACACTTCAAACAGAACCGGATCTTGGCTCGCTGTGAGGGAAACCCAACATTTTCCTACTTTGCTGGCAGTTGCCTAAGGGCGATGGCCCAATTCATTTCACCTTGATTCCCGCGTTCTCTACTTCCCTCAGTGAGTAAGATGAACGGATGGTTGCCGGCACTTTTTGCAGTCCGTGACCCTTGCAAATTGCTGGCATCCTACTGCTTAGCTGGGGCAACCCACAGCTCCCGTGACCACCACGTGCAGCACCGCCGTGGTCACAACTACCACAAAGCCTTCGCCCTGCCCACCATCTCGATGACTCTCATGGATTTTGCTTGTAACTTGTAACTTTGAGTCATTGCTCAATGCTGCGTGGGGCATATTCTGAGAGCCCTAGGACCTAGGATGGCCAAAGGAGTATCAGCACGCGGGTGTGTGTATAATCGAAGTCATGCCGGTGTTTCGAGGGCCATCTTCCTCATCACTGTCTTTGTCCGATGGGAGGACACGCTTTGCTTTGGATTGATTTTCCTTTCCCTTCGTGATACTGCTGATGTCAGGAAGCGCGTCTTTGACCCAGATGTTCTGCGCAGTCCATCGGGGGAGATTTTGAGCGACGGTGCGGCTTTGGCTGGCAATTAGTGCAGAGTGAGCGCAGATTCCCTGGGCCAGGTGCCAGGGCTGAAACTCGCTTCCGAATAATCTTAGCAGTAATGTGCTGAGGATGCTCCTCAACCAGAGGGCGCACAGGAGCTCTTCAACTGGATGGAGGATAGAGGTTGCACAGGCGGGACCGACCAAATTCTCGACAGTCACCCTGTGAAAGACGGGTCGTCAAGTTTGAGAAGGGCACAGAACCAATCAGCAAGCACTACCAATGAGTGATCACGCAGAGTGTGCTTGCCCCTATTTCCTCGGGTAGAGCTAAGGGTCGTATGACATGGACATGAAAGCCGCGGCAATCCACTTTGAACATGTTTCGGCGCGAGCACGTGTATGGAGTACTGAGTGCAAGTTTATCGTTAAGGCTCAGAAGAGTAAAGCAACAAAGCAGAAAGACAAAACATCTTCGGAGTAAAGAGAGATGTAAGAGAGATATCAAAAAAGACTTATAGAGAGTGCATATATAGATATAGGGAGATATAGAGAGATATCTATGGAGCATAGAGAGATATAGAGAGTGGAGCCGCTTAGCCTGGAGAAGGAGTGATGCGCATCAGCACCCTCCAAGGCCTGCAGGATGTCCAGTTGCTCTTGGGTGGTGGAGTGGCTTTGCGACGAAAGTGCCAATGTGGCCCACTGAAAGAAGGGCAGGATGGGTGGATGAAATCGATGAAATCAGCTTATCGTTTCCTCCACACTGGTGCAGAGTAGCTCCACATAGTACCCACTGGTTTTGCAGTGGAGGAGCCGTGCAAACCAAAGCTTACGACGTTGTCAAAGTCCCACAATTTGAGATCTTCAACAGCTGACTCAGTTCTCGGCCAATGTGTCCAGGAGATCTTTTGCATCCCAAAGGATGCCTGGCTGATGCCCGAGGCAGCTGGAAGGTTGTCAAGTTGTTTCACGTGCTCATACGAGAGGGGCTACTTGGGCTTTTCCAAAGGTGCTTTCCAAAGGTGTTTGCAAAGAGCTAAACAGCAAATTGTCGGTGAAGGGCCCAGGAGGTAGTTGTACAAAGACAATGGATTTGCCTACAATCTGCATCTCGAGAGTCCAGGCCGGGTCGGGCTTGGAGGCGCTGGCATGGCGACTGCTGCGAGAGGTGTGGGCGGAGGACCTGGTGAATCAGTATGCAGCTACTATATACATATACAGTATATATATACTAATTGAACACTCAGTGATCCATTGAGACTCCTATGAATGCTATGATGTCGCCTGACGTTTGGGAAGAACAACCAAGACGCGAGCTCAAGGGCTCATGTAGGGAGCTGATTCTCTGAGCAAGTCTGCAGGAGGAGTCTAGCTTCGCGCCTTTCGCGAGGACCTCGGCCATTGATGCGGGCGCGTCAAAGCCAAAATGGAGCTTAGGTCCGCCACTTGCGTGGGCAGGACATGTCCTCGCATCCCATCTTCTGGGAGGAGTGAGCGCAGCGACCCACCAGTCAGACCTGCCAAACGAAGGGCTGAGACATACCCCAAATCAGCAAATTAGGTCTTGACGCCCCTTTTGTCGCGGTACTGTATTTCTGCAATAAACCCTATAGTCACCGCAATTGAAGTGAAGTCCGAACTGAGCGCCTCATCCTTGAGGAGGATGAGGTGGAGTGGTTGAGACCAAGCTTGGAAGGCTATGAGTTAGCCCTTTGGCATGACCTGTGACCTCAGGAAGGATGGCCTCTTCTGGCAAAAAATTGTGAGAATCTGTGAGCAGCTTGCTAAGGTTAAACCGCTGCGAGCCCGAACGGAGGACTTGTTTAGCAGCACAATAATGCAGTACTGATGATCCTCGCACGTTCTTGCATCCAATGTTTGCTTGTTACCTCGGAAGTTGGACCTGAATTGATAAAAGAAGGTCAAACTGTTTCTAAGCCACTACTAACTACTCTTGGTTGGTCGGGCCGGTCGAGTTCTTGAAATTGCGACAGTAGCCTGACAGGAGAGGTTGGCGCGCTTGCTTGCACGAGTTGCAGCAGAGGTGCTGGTGTTTGTTCTTATCAATCACCTTTCATGCGGGTTCTGGTGCAAAAACGGTTCTGGACAATCACGACTGAAAAGTGTCAAGAGGCGCCAACACAACTCACTGTCCAAGGTCGCCCGAAAAGTGTCAGGAACCATAATAAGAGAAACCTATGGATGGACAATGATTGTGGTCGAAATGACGTAGAGAAATGTCATGATTGCGGTCGAAACGACCTTCGAAGGCGCCAAAGGTGTGGGAGAACTTTGAAGGCCGAGAGGAGGCTGAAGAGAGGGGACATTGGTGGGGACAGATGAATCCAAGAAGCCAGGAGGTAGAACACACTGAAAACCAAGAAAATACATCTCTACTGCAAGGATCATCAAGGATCAACTTCATCGCAATTTGCATATGAGTTGTTTGTTGTCCAACTTATATATACATCTTCCCAATTTTGTTTAGTATCCGTAAAACAATCAACATCTATATAACAAATTTTGTTTGTCAAAAGAATCATCCAAACTATGATTTTTAACTGCTCCTTTGTATCTCAAAAGAGCATCACCAAAAAACCAAACTAGCTATTTCTCCATTACTAACAACAAAATCCCCTATTGAAACATTAAAATCAACTAAATCGTTCAATCTTCCATCGAATCCTTCATAGCGAGTTAAACATAAACTGAGTTCATCCATTTTTGAAATTTGCCTTATTAAATTTTGAGTTAGAGGTATTCCATCGGGAGACAGAAATATTGTTTCCCAGGACTTTGTTCCAAAATTGGTTTTAAAACATCATATCCAGAAGCCATCCCACCACCACCAAGTATTGTTTTATCGTTCTTGGTTAAATGATGAATTTGTATATTATTTTGCTCAATAGCTATTCTCATTTTTTTGCTTGAAAAGGACAGTGTTTATTATGGAAAGGATGTATAAATATTTATCAGGCTACCGCCTGCAGCCGCCGACCCCCAAGGGAAAAAAATCTAGTGGCAGGGTCGGGTCCCAGCCCTAGCCTTTAGTTAGCCTTAGACCTTAGCCCTAGCCTTAGACCTTAGCCCTAGCCTTAGACCTTAGCGCTAGCCTTAGCTTTAGCCTTAGACCTTAGCCCTAGCCTTTAGCTTTAGCCTTAAGCCTTACCTCCCCTACCTCTCCGGAGCCTTGTTGCAGTGACGAAATCCGCCAAGATTGCGACGTGGATTGTCCAAGATTTTGCCATCCCAATTGATTTACATCTTGGGTTTTTTTCGTAGAAGGGAGTTGTAGGATGTCAAAGGTTGTTTTGGGTTCCCAGGTTTGCCCAGAAAATTGCTAACCTATTTTCTTCCATTGTTGTACTCATGCGGCCTTTCATGCGCTGGACGAGGTCCGGCCAGTGCCCGTGGTAACGTGAAAGGCTCTGGTAAGATTTTCGCATGCCTGTCAGGCGCCCGTGTCCGCGCCATGTGGCGTGTTGATGCGTGTTGGTTCTAGGACGGAGCAGCGCAAACGGAAGCTCGGGCAGGTGGTGGCGAGGTTCTCGCGCCAGCGAGGGAAGAGACCGTAGCCATGTACATGAGGGCGGCACGCGCGCGTGGCGGAATGTCTGCAGTGCAGTAGGCCGGGGGGGGGGACGGAAGGGTGTGGAAGTGGGTGGTTCCACGGTAGGAGGCAGGACGTTGCCCTGGATGTGGGGAGGGCAGGGTTTCCTGGAGCACCCTTTGAGCAAAATGCAGGAACCGAGAACAGCCTCCGTCACCAAAGTCGTCGGGTGAGAGGCAGCCGGTGTCTTTGTTATGCGTTTCCTGGGGGAGAAGGGCGCTGCCCATGGTGTCAGCTAAATCGTGTCAGCCAGCGAGGGCGTTGCCCATGTATGTCCCCCCGTGCAGGCCATGGAAAACTGCTCGGTGTAGTTTTCGTAGGCGGAAGACGCCGGCGCGCAGTGTTTCGGCAGGCTGGCGCAAGCCGACGGCTGCTGGAGCTGGACGAGGCGCGCAAGGGATGTGTAGTGAAGTATGGAGTGAAGCTAGGGGATGCGAGCGCAGGGGTGCGAGGATCGGGTTTAGCGTGGGCGGAGCGTGAGTTGGGAGTTACCGGCAGCATTTTTGGCTGGAGAAGTGTGGTTGTGATGGTTGCTGATGGTCCAGGGGCAGCTCGCGGGAAGGGACTGGACCAACGGTCGAACCCTGGAGGACGAGTTGGTGCAGGGAAAGCTGTGGGCTGAGGAATCTGTGGATCTGGTCTTGGAGGGCAGGCGGCAGCTGTTGGGGGTGGCTCCATGTGTGTCGTGGGCCACTGATGCTGCTGCATGGCTGAGAATGGAGGGATTTGCTGTGGTGGCCTGTGGCGAGAGCTTCGTGCTCCCCGGTGGGCAGACCCCGAGGAGTGTGGACAGGATGGTTGCGGCGGCCCTAGAACAACCCGGGAACGCGGCCGCAGAGAGGGACAGGGCGCTGCCCATCAGTGTTGCGGTTGGCGCTGAAGACAGGGCGATGGTCCATGACCATCTCGCGGGAAGTGCTCGTCGTGGCTTCGGAAGAGAGGTGCTCTGGTCGACAGGCCGGCTGCCATATATGATCTTCTGCAAAGCTTCGTGGAGCATCGTGTCTCGCCACAAGGGCTCGGTGCTGCAGCCGGGGCGGAACAGGACCTCCTGCGGGGCAATCTATGTGTTCTCAGAGCTTGGTGGCAAGGTTGACAGGAAGGGCCATGGGCAGCATGACGGGCATTGGTTTGTGGCACAGGCGCAGCAACAGAGGATCTGCTACACCGGAGCTGGAAGGGTGGATTCGCGGGAGATCCGAAGCGGGTCGATCGACAGGGCGCTGCCCATTAGTTTCACGGCCGGAGGGAATGGGACTGTGCGGCAGACCTGCCTGAGGGCCGAAGTGGTGGCTGTGAAGGAGAACAAGGACGAGATGTGTGCGGGACAGCATTGATGACCATGGCGTGACTTGCAGGAGGCAGCCGGCGCTGAGGTTGCTGCAGAGGTTGGAGCAGGTGGCTCATAGAGCGGAGATGTCTCGCGACATGGGGGCTGATATCTGGACCAGAAAGTGGGGTTCACGACGCGCTGGAGCAGGACGCTGGTGGTTAGCTCGGTGGCGGGCATCGGGGTGGAGGCATCCTGCAGTGGAGCGGGATCGTGGCCTGGAATGTGGAGGAGGTGGCAGTGTCCAGGGCGCTGCCCATCACCGCTGCAGGAGCGGGCTAGGGGCAGAGGACGCGGACCAGCCGCCAGGCGGAGGCATTCGCTGCTGCCGGAATCCTGGGGGGGCTTTACCTCGTCCAAGAGCTGCGGGGCCAGGCAGGTGCTTCCCACTGAGCAGCACACTAGAGGAGCTGGAATGAAAGACGCTCTATCCAGGGCAGTGTCTATAGGGCATGGTCCACCGCAGCGGGGTTGAGCCAGACAAAAAAAGGAAGCTGGGCGACAGGAGTCGTAGATAGTGGAGCGAGACAAGGGGAGGGTGGAATGTGCAGATTCTAGGAGATGTGTCTAAGAAGTTGCAAGTGTGTAGAAAGAGCTCCGAAAATTCAGTGTGGCGCGAGAAGAGATTGGGTCATGTGCGGGACCCTGAGTCTGCAGATCAACTAAATTTAGTTTTTGGATGAAATCAA